GCTGTGCCACACCTCGGTCTAGGTCGTACCAGTCCAGGGACACGATCACTTTGGTACAACATCTCGGCCTAGATAATACACATCTCGGCCTTGGTGATGAACACCTCGGTCTAGATAATGACATCTTGGCCAACATGTCAGGGTGAGGGTGGAGGTCAACCATGGTGGTTCCAAGATGGTCCTAGGTGTAAGAAGTTCAAAGATGTAACCTAGGCTTAAGATGACCTCGGCTAAACTCACACCAAGCAAGGAACAAAACATGCAAGCAACACTTATGCGAAACAAATCAAGGTTTGCAATGCAACTTAACAAGACAAGATCATGTAAATACATGCAAGCATGACTAGAGTAAAGTGAGGGTTGCTACATTCCTACCCAATGTTCCAGATATAAAAATGAAGAGTACGACCAGGGCTTTCTATCCATCCGAGTAAAGTATGCTTTCATTGAAGTTGGATTTTCGGGTTTCTTCCTTTTCTAGATTGAGGTAGAGATTTCTTTGCTTATCTTCAATATTTTCCTGTAGATAAATGGGTGGTATATTTGTATTGCATAAAAATCTCATGTTGAGGAGATTTTCTTAAAGGAATAAAAAGGAAGTTAGGGTTTTGAAAATAAGGGAGTTAAATATAAGATTAAAGAAGTTTTGAGTAGTTAGAACATGGTTTTGTGCTTTAAAGTAAAAAGCCCTAATTTTTGTCTAACCCTAGCTATGAATTTTATTTTATTTTTTTAAATGATGAATTATTTCAATTGGCCTTAAATTCTTCAAATTAAGTTTATATTGGGCTAATTAAATATAGAAATGATGATAATAATACGTTGTGAGAATGATTATTGTGAAATAGGTTTACGTCATAGTAAATTGGTGATAGGAAATTGGACTAACAAATTAAGAAGGTGAGTATGATCTTGAATGTGGTGTACAATTGAACAAAAGGTGTTAACGTTGAGAAGTAAAGAACATTGTGGGAGAAAGACTGTAATTATTTCTAAAGATGAACTTTTTTTCTTATTATAGAATGTGTTGTTGGGTTAATGTGCCATGCCCCTGATTTACAGAGTCTAGCCCACATGTAATTGCCCAAAGCCGATAAGTAAAAAGAAGACAATTAGATAGAAATAAATAATATCTCTCATGCAATGGATACAATAGTGTCACACAATACATGTGTTATTTTGATTTCATACACCCTACATTCACATCTACGTGGAATGGATATTCTTTGACTAAAGCATACAACATATGATATATATATCAAATTGAATGCCCAAAGGCTTACATCATTTACAAAGCGTGTAACCCTTACAAGAATGGCAGGCTGCCTAAAAAAAAATAAAAAAATAAAAATGGCCCAAGGCCTACAAATCATGGAACCACCCAACTCAGCTCCGATCATAACCCCAATGTCAGTACATGCAACACACTTGAAAAACATTTTCAGCCACGTAGGGTGAGCATAAAGCCCAATAGAAAATTTTTCAAAAGCTAAATATACTCTACTAGCATAAATCTGTTTTCTCAACAAAACAAAACTTTTCTTTCCAACAACCAAAACCTTTCTGTTTATTCAAAACGTTTTCTAAAATCAAAACATCTGTTTGATAAAAACCCATTTCCAAGACAAGTTCAATATATCACAATACCAACAAGCAAATATATTGCCAAATCAAACGTGAATACATCGCTAAATAGTTTTTCAAAACATCCTTTTCAAATTAACACAATAATAGATAAAATGGGTAAATCTCCAAGGCTAGTGTTCATAATAGTAACTATACAAGTCACTATGCCATTTTTCTGGGATTATCCGGATGGAATCGACACCTATCGTGCGGTTTTAGGTCTTTCACTATGGACACACAGGCCAACTTAATTCTGCTCTAACACCCCTTTACAGCTTTACCACTTTATTTACCTTTTCCCAATAGCACAATACATGTGATCCAAAATATTATTTTCAAAATGATATGAATGTTCTTAAAACATAATACGAGAATTTCCAAAACATTCTTTCTAGAACCTACAGTTTTTGAGTACCAAAATCCATGACAGACTTCATGACATGAATGATTTCAGTTCGCCTAATCCACATGTAGTTTCTAACTCATGGCAATGCTATCCTCGACCGATAGGTAAAACAATTATCTCTAATGCAATAATTAAAAGATAACAATACAAATATATTTTCCAATGAATTCCAAAACCCGTATATCTCTCAACAACCCAGGATTTTCTCAAAAGAGTAATAATACTCGTCATTTTCAAAATCCCATATCCATTTCCTTTCCATCTCTTTCCAACCAAACCTTTTACCAAAGTCAACCCAACTCCCAAAAACAATATCTATTAGGGTTTTTCACAATTTGGGGCTTTTCCAATTTTAAAAACCCATATGCAATTTTGTATACCAAAAATAACTGTAGTAGTAAAACCATAGCCCAACAACCCCCAATTTAACAAAACCCTCAAGCCCAAATCATGATTTCAAAATCAACCAAATGACCACAAAATCTATATAACAAAATACACCACAAATACATTACCGAACTCATATCGAATTAAGGAAATAGACCCTACCTCTTGAAGCAAAGAGGAGACAAGTAGGAAAAAATGCCGACGACAAAAAGGCAATCCACTCAGATTAAATGGAAGCCCTTGCCGAGCTCTACATTTTAGTATGGAACTAGGGGTAGAAAGTGGTTAAAAAAAGATGAAACCCAAGCTTGAAAAGCTTTGAGGGCCAAAAATGGTGATACGGAGAGAGAAAAGAGAGAAAAGATCAGAAAAAGTGATATTTTCCATGCACTAACAACTTATATAATAGGATCATTGCAGGTGTGACCACAGACATCGCGACCACGACCTCTTAGAGCAACTGGTCGCAGGCGCGACCACCTATACCGTGGGCATGACCGTGTTGACCGCAGCTACTTATCGTGGCCCATTACGGGTAACGTATCCACCCCCCAGCCAAAGGACCTGAAGCCATGTTTTGGTTGTAGCTTGGTCCCGGCCCACTCGCGGGCGTGACCACTAACCCAACACCTCGCGGGAACGACCAGTTATATCCAGATTCCTTGGGCTGCTACCCAACAGCCATCCCAAAGCATGCCAACGGTCAAGACCACCTAGAATGGTCCACGTCACTTGGGGCAACCCCGTGTCCCAACCAAAAATGAAAATGGGTTAGGTTAAATTGACCTGAGCCACTATATAATGTATAATGGAAATGGTGAATGAGCGTCGTTGGTTAAATTTATGAGTTGCAAAAATGAATGACATGATGAATTAATGGATTGTGATATTAGAAAAAATGGTCCATTTCCTTCTGACTCGTGACCAGTAAAGCGTGGCGATTGATAGAGGTTCTGCTTTCCTTCCGGAGTAGTGCCTGGAAAAACATGTGGCTTGTTGAGATATATAGAGGTTCCGCATTCCTTCCAGCTTGTGACAGGTAAAGAGTCGTGCTTGAAATAGTTCCAACTTTCCTTCAGGAGTAGCCCCCGATAAACTGTGTTGTTATGGCTTGGTAATGGAGTCGGTTGTTGGCAAGTGGACTTTTTGTAAAAGAATTGTAAGGCGACTTGTATATATAAATGTGATTATTGGTAATAGAGAATTGACTTGTGTGATTGGAATACGATTGTAATGAATTGAACTTTTATAGATTAATCGTGTATAGCGTGTTGATAAGTGTTTCTGTTTTGGGATTGTGCGGATTATGGTGAGGATGGGTTATTGTATAATTAATGTGTATCATCTATGTTCGATGGTAGTACATCGTTAAAAGGCCAAAGGTTTTTGTTTAAGATTCAAAGAGTTTTTTTTTGTTTTTTTTTTTTTAAAGGAAAATTCTTTGGGTTTATTCAGATAAGGTAAAACGGATGAGAAGATAATAAATGAGTTTTCTTTGAAAGTCTTGTGGGACTTTATAAAGAAAGTATCCACCTATGTATACTCTACTTTGGGTAAAAAATGCGCATTATCTATTTATGTATCATTTGTTAGCAGTCATGATCACATGTATCTATTGATCTTATTGTTGGGAATCTTTGTAGATCCTTACTGGACATATTTGTTCATCTCACATTGTTGTACTATTTTCAAGAACGGAGTCGGAAACACTGGTTTGAAGATCGAGAAGTTAATTGTCCTTTAGGAGTATTATTTTGTAGAGGGCAGATGAAGATGTATAATGCGGTGAAGTTGTGAAATGTCAATGTATACTCCAGTGTGATTATTTATTTTGTCAATTTAAATGTACGCCATGGGGCATGTGCTTGTAATGTATTAGACATTCTATTATTGTAATCATTATGGAGAGAACATTTTCTTGTTATTCAATCGTAATTATTCTTATTATTCCTATTTGCATCATTTAATTGGATTTAAATTAAAGGTTTTGGTAATGTATCTGAGTAATGAAATTTGGGGTGTGACAATAATTAATCTCAATCTTTCATTCTCTATTCTCTTTCACTTTCTACACTTTATATTTTCATACTCAATTCTATTTCTTTTAAATCTAACTTTCTTGCATTCTATTTCATATTAAAGTCAACAATAAACAATGAAGAGTAAATTTTAAAGCTGTTTTTATTTTTTATTTTTTTTTATTTTATAGAAAATGTAAGTTTTTTAGCTCACCTTTATCATTTTTGGTTGATGGATTTTCAAAATTTATTTAGAAATATAGTATGTTACAAATTATATTTATTCTGAAACTTATTTCTAAAAAAATTCATATATTTAGTATAGTGTATTCAAATTATTTGACATTGTTCATCATTTATATTTGGCGATGTATTTTCGAACATTTAATTGTTTAACTTCTTCATATTCTAGTTCTGAACAAAAAAAAAAAATCAATATTACATTTCTAAACAAATTACATATGTTCAAAAAAAAAATTACATACTTTAATTCTATTTGAAAAAAAACAAAAAAAAAAACAAAATCTACATCCATTTTTGTCTTTTGCCTTATTCTACGTCTCGCCCTATCCACTGCCTCCCCGGCACCACCGCCTTAGCCACGCCCTCACTCGACACTGTTGCTCCACCTCATGTGGTACCCTTTCTACTCTCATCTCTCTCTCTCTCTCTCTTCCCCCCTTTGTCGATTTGTGTTGTTTTCTTCTTGCAACTGTATTTGTATATGATCATTTGGAGCCTAATCCTCCAAATCCAAGGCTGGTTGCAAACATGTGTTAGGGAAAATTTGATCCTACAAGTCTCAAGTTTCTAATTGTTAGATTTCTGAAAGTGGTTCAGGATTTCTTGCTCTTCCTTTGATTTTTTGTTATTATTATTATTTTTAAAAGCACACAACTCACTTGTATGAACTTTTGAGCAACATTATATTTTCCAATGCTATTCATGTGCAAAAATGGATGATGGTTATAACTGAATCAAACTGAACTATGCTCACCCCTACTGCTTTCTAGTTGCTTCTAAGAGTTGTGTGTCCTCTCTACTTGATTTTCTTCTGAGTTGGTGTTTGTTGGTTTTCAATTCAATGTGCATTGAATTTATTTTTCTGTCTTTGTTTGGATGATGTTTGCAATTGTTATTGTTTTCTCTTTTCCTTCAATATTTTCCCAGATTTAAATTACAGTTTCCTTTTATTCTATTGTTTCCCTTGGTTTTCTATTAAATTAATGTTGTTGTTGTTATTGTTGTTTTGTTTTTGTTTTTTCAATTTCAGATTGAGAAAAAAAACTGTAGAGGACCACAAAACATGATATAAATCTTGGAGTTTGTTCTCTCTTGCATTTCAGGTAAAAGAAATTCACTACTGTTTAGGGTTTTTATTGGCTGCATATTGCTTGGAACAAATCTCATATACATATATATATACAGAGTGGGTTTGGGTTATTTCTTTGTGGGTCATGCATGAGAGAGACGGAAATGGTGGTGACTAAGGCTAGTGGGTATTGTGTATTTGGTTAAAATAATTTTTTGGTTCTTAGAAGTTGCAAGTATATATGTAATTAGTTCAAGCCCACAGAGAAATTGACAATTTGTTGGAGTAATTACTTGTATTGTGTCTTTAACAAAATTATATTGAAGCATTTGTGGGTGTCAGATCCTGCAAAGACTGCTTTTTGTTTACAAGTTCACAGTTCCCTACAGCTTGCACTGTCTTTAGGTTTTCATATCAACCATAGCTAAAGACCTGAAAAAGGTAGTTTGTGTATATTTTAGGAATTTTGAGGGGCAAAGGAGATGTCTAGGTTTTGAGCACTGTGGCAAGCTTCACTTAATGCAACAAAGAGAGGTATGGCATCTCAACTTTTAAGATGATGGGTATCTATGTCTATGCATGTTGAGTTTGCAGAGCTGCTTTCTTCTTGTTAAGTTAATCTCTATATGTGTATCTGAAATGTTTGTTAGTTCTTTTGATTTCTATTTATTTATTTTTCAGTGTTTTTTTAAAATAAAAAAAAAATTGTTGTGTAATTAAAATTATTGTATGTTGTATGTCTCAAGGCATTTAACTGGAATTCAAGTCAATGCATTGATGTTGGAAATTGTACATCACATTTCTGATAAGTAGGTTGGTTCTAAAGTTTGACGTAATTAGTTCTAAGAAGAAATGAAATTTTGTGAGCTGATAAACAATTGTCTTCCTTTCTTTTTCCTAATGCCAAAAAATATTTCTCGTATATGATATCACAAATCAAGTGTAGAGACACTAAGCTTTGCAAGTTTGTCAATCAATGATTAATTTGTGAAATAGGTAGTTATAGAACTCGTCACTAACCAATTTAATAAAATAATTTTATGAAATTTCACTCACAAATATTTGAATAAAAAACCACCCTCAGCATTTTGGAAATTTATGTAGTTAATAATTGTTCCAGGGAATCACATATTTGAGAAGTAAAGCGGGTTCCTTTTCAATAGTTTATATTATTTAAATGAGATGTCAGTGCTTGGTGCAATCAATTTTTTTTTGGTTAATTGTATTACACCATAAAAATTGCCCTTGATCAACTTTGTCATGACTCATATTTAAGACTAAAAGATTCCACGTGGAACTCCTTTTGAGGTGGTTCTTAGTGAAAAAAAATGGATACCTTTTAAAGTTTCAACCTAACCAAGATTGACACTTCTAAGAAATGTGTCGGACACTAACACAACACGACACAAAATTTATCTAAAACTTCCTAACACTTAGACACACATGAAATACATTACAAGTTTGAAAAGAATAACTTGTAATCAAATGAAAAAAAGAAAGTTGTAACAACACCGATCCGTAATTAACCATTAATCTGCAATTAAGAATGCTAACTGAGTGCTTAGAATGGAATTATGTGTTAATTGTGTATTTTGTATGCTATATAGCTTTCTATCTGTTACTTGTAGAAATATCTATTTGGAATTCTGCTTTGATCTGGAAATTGAAAGCCGTATCGGCATCCGAAACCAAAATTAGTTACATCAATATGCTATTTGGAATTTTTAGAACACTATGGCGAATTTAATTAAAAATTGATTCAGTCTGATTAATTAAGTTGTGTTTGGCAAGCCTAATGTTCCAATTAATGTATATTAGCATTACAACTATATAAGTGGGCTCTAAAGCTCATTCTTGAGCTCAATAACGTTTCATTTGAGTGGAAAAATCTGGTGAGGCTTTGTACAGAGAGAGAGAGAGATAGAGAGAGAGAGAGAGAGAGAAAACTCTTATTCTAGAGTGAGAAAAGAAGAAATTGAAGGAAATTTGAAGGAAGACTTGAAGATTATTGTTTGTAGGATCAAGATTGTGCAAGAACAAGAGAATTTGGAGACTCTAGGTAAGAAATCAACTCCTAAATTATGAACCTAGGTCATCAAACATGAGAATACATGAAGAATAAGAGTTTAAATGCATATTATGAGCTTAAAATGAAGAATTGAGTTGTATTTCATACATGCATTCATTTATGAGTGTTAAATCATCATTTTGATTATGAGCTTTATCATTTATGTTGAGTTTAGACCATGAAATTAACATGCATGCATATTAGATCAAGTTTTGAAAGTAAATTCCATGTTTGAAGAGTATTGAAAAGAATTTTACATGCATGTTGAACCTTGCCAAGTTAAGTTTGATTATGAGCATCTAAATTGTTATTGTGAGTTATTTGGTACATGCATGTTAGAGTCATCATGTTTCATCACTTGAATTCATGTTTTGAGAAGGAATTTTCTACATGCATGGGGCCTTATAACTCAAATTGGGCCAAACATCATGGATCTTGAAGAAAAGAGTTGTATGTTATACATGCACGAAAGTTTTTGGGCATAATTTTGGTAAATTCATGAGTTTTGAGCAAAAAGAGCTTGTGAAAACCATATGTTTATGTTTTGGAAAAGTTTTCAAGCTTTAAAGACAAACCATGTGTGGACACCCTATTTTTCACCGCCTGCAAGGCTCAAGCGCTTTGCCCGATACACTCGATGATAAAAGTGGTATTGTGCATGGTTCGAGGTCTCAATGAAGGGGCCATGTTTAAGCTCCGAAACAATCCCAAACCTTTCATATTTCCACTAATTATACCCAAGAAATCCATTTTTACACATTGTGCCACCCTATGCTGAGATGGAAACAGAAAAACAAGGGAATGCATCGAGGCCCGGCCGTGCCTCATTGAGGGCCGGCCGTGGCTATTGAGGGCCAGCCATGCCTTAGTAGCGAGACACACTATTCTGGGCGGGAGGCCACTAGCTGTCCATTTTTGAAGATATTTATGATATTTTTGGCTCAAATTCTATAAAAACAACCATGTATCTCTATTTTGAGGGTTGAAGAATTTCAAGAAAGCCTTTATTCCACCTTGAGCGCTCTTTCTTCTCCTTCTTCTTGTGCAAGCAACACTTTGAGCTAACCTATCACCTTGAACCTATATCCACACACCATATACATCTTCATACCTTAGCCTAGGAAGCTTGGTTGAGCCTTGAACACCATAATTCAAGCTTGAGAGTGTGGTGAGACTTAGTTTGAATCACAAGCAAAAGCTTACTTCTTTGAGAGGTATAAGCTTGTCATCATCTCTTTTACTTCTTGTTCTTTCATTTAATATCTAGTTCTTATTATTTTGTGTTGTTTTGATCCATTTCCAAGTGTTTGAGTTTGGGTTTGGAGAGCTACAAAAAGGGTAGAAAGAGTTTACTCTTTCTGCACCTTTAAACATAGCTCAAAGCTTTGCTTTTTACACTCTTTTTCTTAACTCTCTAGACTGATTTTCAGAGTTAAAAAAAAGGCTAAAAATCATGCTTTGAGATTTCAAAAGTGGAGGGGTTAGCCTCCCCTCCTTGTTCTTGCTTACTAGTCTTGATTCCTCTCTTTGTTGTTTAGCTTGTTAGGCTTTTTTCATGCATTCTAAGCCACTATTTTTCATCTCTTGAGGGCTATTTTAGGGCTGTTTTAGGTGGTCTAATTAGTTCATGCTTTGATTAGTTTAGTTGTTGTCTCATAAGTATGCCTACATAGCTTGTAGTATATTGTTCTAAGCTTTTCTTCAACTCATTTCCATGTTTAAAGACCTCATTTTAATAATCAACTTGCCATTCATATATTTCATTTGAGAGTTGTTTCAATCGGTTGACGGTTATTCAAAACATGAACTAGCGATTTACGCTTAATGGCTTAATCTCTACGGAGGTTCATTGCCAACGGTGTAGTCTCTTTTTTATGTTGAGAATCACCTCTCGTTTGACATACTTCTCACGTAGTGGACGTAACAATCATCTTGGACTTAATGGATTAAAGGATGGCAAAGACTAATGAATTTGGCTTAAAATGAACTAACTCAAATAAAGAAAAAGAGTTATATTGCTTGGGATTCGGCCGAACGTTATGCCAAATCCATTGTGTCAAGAGTTGTCTTACATCAATTCATGATGTTTTGATGGATCTTGAAGCATCTCTACCTCCCTCTTTGGTCAGTAGTGTATTTTTGCAGAAAACAGAGGGCAGTGGTTGAAGGTGAAACAAAGCAAGCCTGGGCAAACAGAGTTGACTAATGAATTTGGCTTAAAATGAACTAACTCAAATAAAGAAAAAGAGTTATATTGCTTGGGATTCGGCCGAACGTTATGCCAAATCCATTGTGTCAAGAGTTGTCTTACATCAATTCATGATGTTTTGATGGATCTTGAAGCATCTCTACCTCCCTCTTTGAGTTCACTCCATGATAGGAGGGAGGAGTGGTTATAGTTCCTTTCATTTATTAATTTTTGTCCAAATTGTAAGCAATCAACTTGCTTATTGATGGTTTTGGAAACAATTCTAACCTTCTCATGAGGCTTTCCCATGACAGAGAAGTGTAGGAGGGAAAAACAGAGTCCAGAACACTTTGTCTGCACTATTTTCACTTTAGAGCACAAAATAAAATTTTACATGAAATTGAGGCACGACCGACCTTCTATAGGCCCGGCCGGGCTTCATTCAGGGCCTGTCGGTCATCAATGTTTGGTCAGTAGTGTATTTTTGCAGAAAACAGAGGGCAGTGGCTGAAGGTGAAACAAAGCAAGCCTGGGCAAATAGAGTTGTCCTTGGACATTGTGCATGTGCATGCAACCCTTGCGCATCTTTTCTTGCATCATTATCATTGTTGTAATCAATTAGTCCATTTATTTTTATTGTTACAATTAGTAGTGTTGTAATTAATTAATTTATTATTGTTTATTTTTAATTGTTATAGTTAATTAACTTAGATAGTTAGTTTACTTGTCATGATTATCCTTATTGTAATAGCATAGTTAGCTAGTTAGTTCTTTAATTTATTCATTCGGTTTTGTAATAAGTAGTTTAATTCGGAAATTCAGACTTTTGGACTTTGATTTGCACCCTCTTGCACGAGGGAAATTATGTAATAAGTTGTATGTCTTCCAACCCTACGTCTTTCTCCCTTTTACTTACTTGCTTATGATGGTTAGTATAGGATATCATTTTTCAAATTAGCATTCTCATGCTTTGCATCCATTGTTTTACATGCATCCAAGGCTCGGCTCATCATTCTAACCCAATATCAATATTCAAATTCATTACTTGACTATGTGCTTTTTTGCATGTCTTGAATGGAATCATACGCCATGCTCATAGCCCAGTCTATAAAATACATAATGTGTGTGTTGCATTAGTCATATTGCATTAATTAGAAGCATGCATGTTTTTTATAATAAATTTGCTTTGTTATGGCTTAGATTACTACATGAGCTTTTATTGATTTAGCATATTGCATAAATGTGGTTGTTGCCATGTCAAAGTATATTTTTATGAGGCTAATTACTTAAATGATATAACTGTTTAAATGCCTATGGATGAAGGCTAGTTGCTTGAATTGTGATGGTTTGATTAAATGTCCGTTTTAGCCCACTTTTTCAAGTGGTAAAATTCACAAAACAATTTCGAAACAAAACATGAAATCAAATGTTCCAAATTCTTGCAAATATTAGTCTATACCTTGTGTGCGCATCACGTAGTAATATAGATAATGAATCGGAACAACAATATATAATGTAAATAAAAATCATATCATGATCAGTAGAGGCCAATCTTTGATCGGGCGAATGGGGTGCTCAATTCATGACTTCCCCTCTCGTACCTAAGTTCCTGAGCCGAGACACTTTGGTGATGACGGACTAATGGCCTTTGGTACGAGTCTTGGATTTCCTAAATTTTTCAAAAATATTTAGGTGGCGACTTTGAAATTTGGCAAAGTAGTCCATTTTTTTGGCATTTGATTCAAAATCGATTTTCCAAAAGATTTTTCGGATTTGGACTCTTTGGTGTTTATCTATTTCACATTGCACTTGTGAGATCAGATTCAAAACCATAGGAGTCTGAACTATAGGGCTTGTCGTCTTTTGAAAGGAGCACGAGAAGTAAGCTACAGTTTCTAGCGACTCTGTTGGGGAAATAGAGAACTTGACTTGAAACTCATGATGTGAATTTTTATCTACACATATATGTTCTTTGCATTACATTTACATGGTTACTTTAAGTCACTGTGTTTTCCGTCTACTATTCCTAGACGGTTTTCCGGAGGCTTGCCCAAAAGGCTCGCCAAAAGACTGACCGGTCATAGGCTCTGCTATGTTGGAAACACAACCATTGGATTTGGGTTACCGCTGTACCGCTTGATCCACCTTTCACTTTTCGGTGTTAGGTGTGAGAGGTATATTAGGTAATCTTGCTGAGGTACCCTTTTGACCATTCGACCTAGTTGTATACAGTGAAGCTATAGTGACTATTCCAACTTAGGACATGATGCCACCCATTTGCAAGATGTTGTGAAACTCGTTATTTGAAATAATGCAACCTAGACCATGCCAAAATCTAGGACAGGGTAACCCTACCCCCTCATAGTGGTATTTTGGTTCTTTTACTTGATATATGTTTTCACAGTGAGACTGTACAGGATGGCTCATATCAGTATGAGTTTGAGAACAAAGTTCAATGGGGATTACAACTTAGCTATGTGTTATGATTGTTGTGAATTAGGGCTGAAGTGCTGTCCGATTTTGATTTTGTTTTTATTTCTTTCTTTTGCTAGGTAGTTTACCATCATAGCTTCAGAAAGACCCGATATTTCCCATGTTGTATGGACTCGCTTTGGCACGCTTTGCAAAGCTCAAGATCTTGTTGGTGGTTAGCTCGTGTTAGTCTTGCTTCCGCCAGTCACCCGACGAAGAAGGAACATACAGTCAGTAGTATCAGTACAAAGCACTCTGCAAGCACCTACCCGTTCTCACTCAATTAGTTCACCAGTATCTAGTTCATCCAGACCAGTAATGGCATAGAATACAACACAGAACGCGGAGGAATATGCTGCCATGATGACGGCTTTCTAAAGAACTATGGACACTATAAACTAGAGGATGGCTGCACAAGATGAAGTTATCACCGATCTACGACATACATCTGGGGCATCTGCATCAACCGTACACCCGATCTCGGCTGCTCAGCCAAACCTGGATCTACCCTCACTAGTAGAAAATCTGCCAGTCCCGGATCATCAGGACATGTTTCCCCAACTTCAGCTTATCGGCCTCCGGTTCAACCTCCTATAGGAATTTTTTCTTTTGATATCAATGAAATTGATTTGGCCTTAGTCAATATTGCTATATTAGAGAAAGCATTGAAAAAATCCCAAGGCTTCAACTCTATTCCAGATATCGAAGACGGGTACACTGAGGCTTCGGTCAGATTACTGGAGAAATTTAAGATGCCCCACATCAACAGATTCGATAGGAGTGGGGATCTGATTGTGCATGTCCAATTATTTTCAGATGTATTTAGGCCCATGGGTTTGTCTAGGGCGCAGAAACTTTCATTGTTTGGGAGAAGTCTGTCTGATGTGGCGGCCATCTGGTACGCTAAATTGGAAGACTCAACAAAGCGGAATTAGGAGGAGCTATCTGAGGCTTTTGTCAATCAATACTCATATAACACCCAGATAGAGGTAACCATTAGTGAGTTGGAGGCTACTACCCAGAACCCCAAAGAATCATTCATCGATTTTGTCGCCCAGTGGAGAGCCAAGGCAGCCCGAATGACAAATAGGCTTGCCAAAAAAGAACAAGTCCGACTAGTGATCCAGAACCTTGAGCCAGACATGCTGCAGAGGATGATAGTGGCACCATTGTCCACATTTGCTTCCTTACATGAGCTGCAGGTCCAGATTGAGAGTGCATTCAAAAAGGGTTTTATCCACAAAACAAGTGAACTCGCAAGAAAGCCATTATCCCAAAATACTAATGCTAGTAGTAGCACTATTCCATGGCCTGCAGATGTCAGTACTGTTGTTTCAACAACCAAGATGGCTGATCCTTTTACTACTGCCACAACCTCGCAACCTTCACAAAATACCGGTCCACCTCGGAAATTGAGAGTTTTTACTCCCCTCCATATGAGCCCAACCCACGTCCTCAAGCTATTAATGCAAAAGGGACATCTCAAGCCTCTTGATCCTCGTCCACTTCCAGACCCATTGCCACCCAAACATGACCCTTCCCAGTATTGTATCTTCTACCAACAACATGGCCATCCCACAGACATGTGCTACCATCTATGTCATGAGATCTAGGATCTCATTAACAACAAAGCCATCGCCTCCACCCGCTAAACCAAACGTAGCAACTAACCCCACTTCCTGCACATAACCAAGTCCCCCCGCCCAGAAACATTAACCACATCCATACATTACCGCCCACCTTCAACCCTAGCACATACATTACCACATCCCACCTACGAAAACCGAAGGTGGTCATTCCAGAAGGCACAGACATGTGCATGATGGATTTAACACCACAAACCCAATCTAGGCCTGTGGTAGTAGAAACGGAGAAAGAGAGGAATGCACTAAAGACAAGATCACCTGATACCTGTGTCATAGAGAAGGGGGTCTCGCTCGCAGAGGATTACGATCCCAGTTTATACATTATGGCCATTGATCAGCCGAAGCTAGTAGTCATACTACCGGACTTTCTCAGCATTAATGCTATCGAGGAAAACCAAATGGAACAGAATCTGAATGAGTGGCCTGAGCAAGGCCTAAATGACTTAGCAAACCCAGAGGAGGATTTGGCAGAATTGGAAGAGGATCTGGAGGATCTTTACTTCTTCGAGGAAGAAGATACGAGCTGTGTGCAGATGAGATGGTGGGACTCGAGCCAGCCAGAAACAAGTAATGGATGGTTGAGTGAGGAAGAGTTTGATGTGGAGGAACAGATAGGAGAGAATGAGAATGGAGAGGAAATCGCTGCTAGTGGCAAGGCTGAGATTGCGCCTCTGACTGAGAAAGAATAGGCACTGGAACAATTTCAAAGGGAGAAGATAGAGGAGATCTAGGCGAAGATAGCTCCGGAACAAAAAAGGAGAAAAGAGAAAGAAGAGACTGAGTCGACAACCGGCAGTGTTCAAG